AAAGCTATAGTGTAAACACTTGAAGGTTTCCTTGCCTCAAGCACCACACCACGTTGAAGGATATTACTTTTGATCAAACTTATTGATTAAAAGGGGGCAGGTCAACTCTCTTACAAGTTGATTTTGCAAGTCCTATTGTTCGGATCTTGCAGTTGTTGAAGAAGCTTGACCTTCGAAGGAACAACAAAGCCAGCACGAGTGCAGTAGCAACATTGGTCTTGTGAAGATATACCGTGCAGAAATTCACACAAGTGTAATTGTTGGTTCATTATTCAACAACCAACTACATAGTGGATTTTGAGGACGTAGAAGGATTACCCCACCTTCGAACCTCGTTAAAGTTTGTGTGTCTCTCTCTCTTATCTTTATTCTTACTTGCAATTATATTAACTGTGAAAACTAACCTATCCATATTGATTACTGCTCACTCTACCCACCAAAATTCCGCACACAATCTAAAGTTCACAAGGACTCTAGATTAACACTCATTTTCACGTTTTCAAAAGAAACGAAAAAGATTTTAAATCTGTAACAAAGTCTATTCACCCCCCCTCTAGACTTTGTATTTCACCACTTTGGGACCACCATTACTTGTAAATTTACATTTTATATAATTATAATGAAAATTATGTAATATCCAAATGTGAATACATAATATGCTAGCTAGTATTAAATAAATGTGAAAATGACTTTCATTTCTCACAACTAAGTATTTGATTGATGTGTAACTAAAATAATGAATATGCAAAATTGATATTATGTTACTCCAAAATAATTGTTCAGAAAATATACGAAAAACACTAAGCAACCGGATGTACAATATAATCTTTTAATCAACATACCATTTGAATCATTAAAAACAAACAAGACATGCAGGAGCTTTTCAACCATATGTACAATTTGTATGAATTATAAATTGGATAAACAGGAATTTTTAATTTAGTAAATTCCATAAATGACTCCCAATTTCATGTAGTTTTTCATATTTAGTGTCCAATTATAAGATATTCCAAAGTAATTTTAAAAAATTGAGAATTGTTTATGGAATATCTTATAATTGAGAACTAAATATGGAAAACTACATATAATTGGAGACCATTTATAGAATTTACTCTTTTTAATTTTATTTGTATAAGTTGATACTCCATATATATTTGACAACACATATTCCCTCCTAATTTGAAAGTGTCTCCGATGCAATACCTAAATTAAACATTGAAGTTTCCTTAGCGTAAGATAAGAATGCATTAATCCATTGCGTTAGAGATTTGGGTTTTGTTTTGTTGGGGGTAAAATATTTTCCTTGAAGAATATTTTCTAAAAGAAAATAATTTTCTAGAAAAATTATTATTCAATCATAATTTCCTTGAAGAATTTAAGATTGAGAACTTAAACTTTAAAATTTAAAGTTTAAAATTTAAATTCTATATTTTATGCATTAAATTTTAAGATTTATGTTTTTAAATTTTTAAATTTATGATTTATGTTTAAAATTTTAAATATTAAGTTTTAAATTTTAAATTCTAAATTTTCAATCTTCAATTTTAAATTGTTAATATTAAGTTTAAAATTTTGAATTTTGTATCTTAAATTTTTAATTTTGAATTTTAAAATTTTAAATTTTTAAAATTTTAAATTTTAAATTTCATATTTCATAGTTCATATTTTAAATTTAAAGCTAAAAAGTCTAAAAATAGGTATGGAGCGGAAAGAGAATGAAAATTTCCCTTCAATTTTTAACGTAAATTGTTCTCCCCCATTGAAGGAAAATATTTTCCATGAAAAATATTTTCTGTGTAAAATATTTTCCTTCCACTAATGTCACCAAACACAGAAAGAATAGAATCAAAACTTTCCTGGAAAATATTTTACGCCCAACCAAACACACCATTAGAGCATACAAATTTGTAGGTTCAATCGGCATGCAACGGTGGACCCAGAAATTTCAGGGCGTGGGATCTGTTTGTGAATTGTGAGATGTTTTATCGATACGCGACATGTCGTGCATTAAGTACAAAGGTACTCTTTTGTCACGTTTTGTCTCACTTCGGTTTATAATGTTTAACTAAAACATTTCTTATGGAATTTATTTGAATATTGGCTTTAAATAAAAAGTAAAAAATAGTATATTTAAAAATAACATAAAAAATTTTATAAAATAAGAGATTTCATGACTATAATTTTTAAGAAAATGATAGACAAAAGCATTTAAAGAAAGAATACCTAATTTGACTGTAAATAGTGGATAATACAAACATAACCAGATGATGGACTAATTCATAAAATTAAAGAGTCTATTTATTGAAAAAAAATATTAAGTTGAAAATAACCAGTACCATCAACTTTTTATATTTCAAAATTATATTATTATAATATTATCACTAATGGTAACAAATATGTGTCTCCATCCTCCGCCCCAAACTTAACTAATGATATTTTACCTCATTTTTATTATGTAAATTATCTCTCTATTCTAGAGTATTCATATAGTTTGATTTTTTTTAGTCAACCTAGATGAAGTTTTATTTCAATACCAATTTGTAAATAAAGTATATGTAAAAGATTCTTGATTTTGTACTTGTTTTAAAATGTGAAATCAATTATGGGAGAAAGGAAATATGAGTACACAATGAAGAATGAAACAAAAAAAACAAAAAATGAAACGAACAAAAAATAAGAAAACGAAAAAGGAAAAAAAATAGTGAAAAAAAAATTGTCACTCCCTGGCAGGGTCGAGATTCGAGAACACGGGCAGGGGCGGATCCAATTCATAAAGTTGGGGGCAATGGCCCCCTACTAGTTTTAAGTTTTTGTTTATCATATCTATTGTGACACTTTAATTTTTAAATTCTTTTAGAGTTATGTAATTTATGACCCCAACTAAAAATATTAGAGATCCTAATTAAAAACATTAGAGACCTCAATTAATAATGTTAAGTAAGAAAAAATGAGAGAAGTCAAATATTTAAATATTGAAAAAATAATTTTAAAGTGAAATATTTTAAAATACAAAGATAAATTCTAAAGTAGTACACTAAAAATATACGGAGTAATAATTAAACTAATTTATAATATTAGCATTAAATAATTTTTTTTACTTTTTTTACTACTTTGAATAACTATTTGAGGTTAATTCGTTATTTTTTAAAAGTCTCGCATTGCATGTATAAAAAAAATTTTGGGAAGCTGTCCAAGAACACTCGAAAGGTGACCCCTACTATTTAATATCCTGGATCCGCCCTTTTCAATGGCCGAATAGGACACTAACCATTCCGTCTACCTGTCCAAGTTAGTTCAATCCTCATTTCTTTTATTATATAGTACTCCCTCCGTCCCAAATTATTTGTCACATTTACTTTTTCAAAAGTCACGGGAAATTTTATTTATTTCTACGTTTTCATTGGTTATTTGATAAAATAAAATATTCTTGACACATCTTATTTCGAAGAACTTTTCATGTAGTTTTTGATATGTAATTTTTATTTTTTATTTCTTTACTAATATGTAAATAAAATGAATTGAAAAAACTTGATATTTTGACTCGATAATAGAAATGTAACAAATAATTTAGGACGGAGGGAGTAAGTGTATATATGCACTTAAATATATTTAAATATATAAAAAAATTTACAAAATTTCCATGGGGTCGCTTGACCCCGTGTGACTCTACATGGGTCCGCCCCTGTCGGCATGGAAATAGAGCCTTTAATTATGTGAAATTTGCACTAAATATGACTAAAACATAAGTCATTGCCTAATGTAGGACTTAAACTTTTGTATTCTCTAATATGGACTTAATAATGACTAATGAGAAGAATAATGCCCAAATGATGCTAGACATTTAGTTGAATAATGACTAATAGATAATGACCAATGGTTCTACATTGAGAAATAAAAACATATGGTCCTATATTGAAAAAGTCATTATATTTTAATCCTATTTAGATAAATTGCTCTTTAATTATTTGACAAAGTAAATAAATAACACTGTACATGGAAAATTATTTTAGTCACAAAACAATGATAAAACTTACAACTGAAGCTTACAACAAATAATTTAGGAAAAAAAAATTTACTGCTTAGCTTTAGAGATAGTTGGAGGGGACAATGAGACCAAGATATCAACATGGGGAAGGCAGCCCCATCTGTAGGGAGGGAACTCATAATCATCTGCTATTTGATACTCCCGTCCCAAAAAGAACTTCCTACTTTGATTAACGTGCAAAACCCCGTGGATTTTAAAATGATTTTATTTGCAAATTGGTAAGGAAATAAGATATTAAAAAATTATATTTAAAAACTACATCGGAAACTCTACAAGATAAGAGGTGACAAGAATATTTTATTTTGTGAAATGATCTATGAAAACACGCAAACAAATTAGAGTTATCGAGAGGCTGTAATAGTAAACATGAAAGACTTTTTGGGACGGAGGGAGTATGAAGCAACAATTCTTCCCATTTGTACATGATATACAATAATTTCACCAAATGCCACGAACACCAGTAGGTCTCCATTTAGAAGGCAACCAATAGGCATCTCACGTCCCAATCGTGGATCATCGACTAAATTAATGTCAGGTAACTTCTCCCATCGCCCACTCATGGGATCAATCGACCGCCAAGTCTCAATTAAATAGGAACTATTAACCTTCGCCATTACCGAAAGCGAACCTCTCATAGCTAAGAACTTTGTAGGATTCATAGAATCCCGTGGGACTGGATAGGGTATTGGCCAATGAGTTTCAGCTTCTATGTCAAATACAACAATTATCGACTTTGTTTTAGGGTCATGGAGATAGTACGCAAAACGACCAATACATAATGGACGCACAAGAAAATAAGTGTCAGGCAAATTTAAGTAACTGGCATCAATAGATCTCCATTTCTTATCAATACCACCTAAGGTTCGAATAGCAAACCGAGGGGTATCATCAAGCCAATCCTTTTTAAGCTGTACAATCTTGTATGCCCCCGAAACAGGAGAATATGCCAAGAAATGGTTAGCCAATGGTGCACAAGACAAACGGGTGAACATACGTACAACAAGCTGCTGCCCCGTAAGTGGGTTCAGAACACATGCCTCTCTGAGTGATTGATGCTTACGAAAGTAGAGTAAGCCGTTACAACTAGTAATAACGACACCACGAGGCACACAACCTAGCTGCTTAAACTAAATTGCACCAGCGTTGCTATTAGTCCTAAGAAAATAGGCGGACTCAGGGTTGCTACAGAATCTACACTGAAGAAAGAGGCAGGTATTAGACGAAGAGGAGTTGTAGAGGTGGGAATAAGCAAAACTCGAGCTGCGGGTTATATTATACCACCCTTGACAAACACACCTCACTACGCGATAGATAAAATCTGCAGGAAGGCAAAGGAGGATAGAAAAAATGAGTTCTCGAGGGATATTACCGATCTTTGTCGTAATGGCCCTCCTCCGAGCCTTGCATGAACCAATCAATCTGTTGCAAGGGTCAACTACGGCGATCTGTAAGCAGCAAAAACTAATATTATGAGTAAAATGAGATTTATCGTTAAGGGGTTGCTGATTTCACCCCAAAAACCTTTCAATTAAATTTGCTAAATCCACACCAATGTCAAAAGTTACATTAATGGGCGTGAATTTAGCAAAATTAGGAAAAAGGTGTGGATATAACCATTTTCGGGCGGATTTAGCAATACCCTATTGCTAAATAGATCTATAAACATTTAAAAAAATCTTCTTTCAATGAATTGAGCATAATATTAATGCCTCAAGTGCGAAAGGTAAAAAGGAATGGAAATCAGAAGGCATGATTTGGCAGATGGTTTGACTCAGCGGTGGCATAATCTCTGCTTTCTAGGGTTTGTTATAATTAAGGAAAAAACCGAAATACGAAGAGAATAGTAAAGGTGAGAAATTACACCTCGCCTTCTTCGCTGGGTTTTTCGGTCTTCCTTTTACGAAGAACGGGTGCCATGGTCACAGATTCAGTCAAATTTGGGGGACGACGGAGCCCTGAGCGAGGAGGAGGAGGAGGAGGAGCCGCGGGAGTGAGTGCAAATCTTCACATTTCAAAAGTAAGAAACTAGGTTAATACTCCCCTCCTCCCAAACAAAATAAATCAAAATTTAAACTTTTTAAATTTATTTTATATAAATATTGGTAAATAAATACTCTCTTCATTCCTATTTTGATTACAATTTTTTTCTTTCTCATCTCTATAATTTTTGTTTGTTTACACGATTTCATTAAGTATTTGATAAAATAAAATACTCTTGTCACTTCTTGTTTTGTAGATCTTTTGACGTATTTTTTTAATATGTAACTTTTATATCTTATTCATATACCAATTTGTAAATAAAATGATTTCAAAAAGTGAAAATTTTTTCCTCGTACCCCGCAATTTGTAATCAAATTGAGGACGGAGGGAGTAAAAAGTAAAAAATTACATATTTAAAAACTAAGTAAAAAAATTGTACAAAATAAAAGGTGATAAAAATATTTTATTTTATCAAGTAATCCATCAAAATATAAAAATAAACAAAAAAATTTATGACTTTTGAATAGGGGAATTTACCTAAACCGTATTAAAACATAGCGAATTTTCCAATTTACTATTTCTCAATATGGTACGACTGTTCAATGTCCACTGATATTGTTTCGATTAAATGCCCACTGCCACTAGACATTTTTCAAACTAAATGTTCATCATCACTGACTATTGTTCATGGCACTAGACTGTTGGAGTTGTGCCCTGATGGCCAACTGTTCATCGTTATCCTATCATGTATAGGCAGATATAATATGTTTATATTTAAAGATGTTTATCAGATAGTGTTTTTCTGCTGATGAGACTAACATCTTGAAATAAATATTTATCTGAATGTCCATAGTCGAGTATTAACGAGAGTGGATTTCGTTAATGCATGTGAGACTAGTGTGTGTTGGATGTTTGACTTAGTCTCATAGTCAATGACAGTGTGTTCGCATCCGCACATGGGCAGATATTATCTGGAGATAATAGGATGCCGGACTGACCCATCCTAAAGATGTTGCTTGAACTTTTAGTTCATGCTCTAAGCATCTTTAGCGCGACCACGGGTGTAACTATCCTTCGACTTGAAATATTACGTTTTCTGCATATGTGAACCCGCATGCTTTGATGCATTGTCCTAAGCCATATGAAATAAGGATGGTATACAGGCTTTGTTTTGGGTATGCCGCAGCACGTATTCAGAAACGTAGATTGCGTACATATGATTTGTCACTATTCTTTTTAAAGAGATTAATGTCATATGGGGCCCATTGATAAGTTATGACTGAGGATATTGCATGGCCATGCTGAGTTTTTTTTTATGACGTCTGTTCCTATCAGTCAGACTTGATAAATCAGTGAATGACTTAATGGATACAAGCTGGATTTTTTTTATCTCTTGCATTAAGTCTAGACATTGAGACAAAGGGATACAGTTACACGGAGTTTGAGTCGTGGAAAGGTTTTGACGGTGCAAACGTCTTAACTTATAATCCGGGGGCAAAAATGTGTTGCTAGATACCGCTTATTGCTTATAGTATTGGTGCAGAGCCAATACTGTGGCTAGCTTTATAAGTGCCTATACGGGTCATACACTTTGAACAATTTAAGGAGTAGGATTAAAAAATGGGATAATAAGTAATTTGTATATTTGTAAAATAGTAAAATAAAAAATTTTGGAATATAATATTATATATATGTAAAACATTCGGTGATATATTTACATATATAAATACCGAAACACACACACACACACACATATATATATATATATATTATGTTGAATATTTTATTTTGGTTTGTCATTTTAATTATGAAAATAATTATTTTGACATAAACTATTTAAAGTATATTTTATACTTGTTTAAAAATGATATTGGTATTTTTATTTGATTTAAAATTAATTTTATATTAATTTTTGATGTCAAATAAAATACACTTTGAACATTTGAGTGGAGAAGAATTTCAAATATCCTTCTCATATCATCATTCGGCCATATGGATTTCAAGGTTGACAAATTGGTATTAACTTACTAGATTGATAAATTAGTGATTTGTAATTGATTTGTTAATTTGTCATTTTATGCATAATTAAAGTCCATTATTATACCCACTTTCTCACTTGAATAAAATAGACCACATTCATCAATTTGGTCCTAGGGAATTTTCGGCCACTTCATTTTAGTGAGAGAAAATTTATTTTGTGTACTATTAATATCATTTTGTGTATAGAAAATATATATAATATTTTAAATATTATTAGAAATATTTTCTATAGAAATATACAAGATTATTATTATCCCAATTTTAATCTTTATATTTTATACTACTATAATCTTTAGTAGCATAAAGATTGTGGTAGATTCCGGCGTTGTTCGTGTGTCAAAGTTGGAGACCGGACGCTTGAACGGTTACGTTTGCACTTTCAACGCTCTTCCTACGACTTCTTCGTTTTTACCGCTTACGGAGAAAGGTATAAATTTCTTACTCACTATAAGTTTTAGTACGTGATTCTGGGCAAGATAATCATGTTAGGATGTTAAAATTTTTATATTCCGCTGTCTATCCTTGCATGGTTACCTTTCATAAACACTATTCAAGTACTAGTGTACTACTAAGAGAATAAAAAAATTTAAGTACTACATTGGGAAAGAACATATATTTTAATACTATTTAGTGCAAATTATACTTTTAAATAGTAAAGAGTATGATTCTTTTTTTGAACACTCATCACACTTTTATTAAGCACCCAAGGCATACTAGTATACAACAAACCAAATACAATCCCTCCCTGACCTTCTACAACAATAGGTCTATAGAGTACTTTTGTTTCTACTCATATGTTATATTATTAATATTCAGCTTTTTGTTTATATAACATCTAGTATGGAACAATGTTCTCAGTTGCTTCATTCACTGTAGTGTTACCCTTCTGGTGCAGTTTCTTGTTCCTAGATCTCCACACCTCATAACAAAGTGCAACCCATATAGCAGTCCATATGCTTCTACTCTTTCTCCTCCCTTTGCTTCCTTACTATCTCCGTCCCAGAATATTTGTCCTTTTTTTTTCAGTTAACTGTTTTCAACCTTTGACCTCTAATCAAATACTGTAAAATATAGAGTAAATTCTATAAATAGTCCTTTATAAATGGGGGGTTTCCATGTTTAGTCCACATTTATCAAATATTAAGTAGACAGTCCTTATTAATTGAGTATCATTCCACGTTTCGTCCTCCGTCTATTTTTCCATCTCCGTGCCATTAGACAAAAACCAAACTTTGAATGGTACTCAATCAATAAGGACCACGAAAATAATATTTGATAATATGGACTAAATATAGAAATTCCCCCATTATAAAGAACTTTTTGGAGAATTTGTTCTTTTTAAACCAATTTTAATATAAAAATTAATAGATAGAAAAATGTATAATTGTAGTTTATTTATAAAAAATCAAAATTTTTACACCACAAAAAATAGTTTATCAAAAAATTCAATTTTTAATACGAGAATCTATTTGAAACTGATAGGAATTAAAAAGATATTCGAAGTTATTATCCCTTTTTAATAATGTAAGAACTTCAAATTTTTATCTCCAAAATAAGAGTATATAATGCTAATAATGCCAATATACAATATCACTATACAATGTCATTATATCATAGTGCAAACTCGTATATTGAGAAAAAAACATGAAATTCTTATTTTGGGGATAGATGTTATATTTACTCCTATTTTTGGATTATTTCAAATTACTTATTACGGAGTATTTCCTATATCTTCCAAGATACGGAGTAGTTCTCATATTAAAAAATGATTTTTTTGGTAAATTATTTTAATGATAATTTTGACTTTTTATATACAAACTACAATCATATACTTTTCAAATTTATTACTACCTTGGTCCCAAAGTATTGACTAGTGGCGGAGCCAGGATCCAAGAGTAGTGAGTACAAAATAGCAAAAGATATCTGTGTCTAGCAATTACCGGAGATAGGAGACATTAAATTAAAAATAAGTCTCACAAACATTTTGTCAAATACATGGTGTACAATAACATTTATTGATATAAATAAATAAATAAGTAAAAAACATATTTGGCAAATGTCACACGTAAATCTTGTCAGAGAAGATCTGCAGAAAAAGCCCATCACACTGAATATTCATCATCATCATCATCATGTTCTTCTTTTTCTTCATCTTCCTTTCTTCCTCTTCTTATTTGAAATGGAGCAATATATAGTCGTATATAGTATTAAAAATCAAGTTGGGAGTGACTGCAATTGCAACCATTTGCTCCCACTTGGCTCCGCCCCTGGTATTGATCGACTTTTGAGGTTTTGTCAAAATCGGCAATCTTTGACCATGAATTAAATAAAATTAATATTAAATATTGATACAAAACTAATTTTATTGGATTTATGTAAATAATTTTATTTAATTATAGGTCAAATGTTAAAAATGGTTGACTGCAAAAAGTCAAAATTACACAAAATACTCAAAGACGGAGGTAGTACTTTCAATATTAAAAATGGTTTTAAAAAAGTAAACTCTCCAAATAGTCCTTTATAACGGAAGAATTTCCTTATTTAGTCCACATTTGTGGTTCTTATTGATTGGATATCATTCCACGTTTGGTCCTTGTCTAACGGCATGGAGACAGAAAAATAGACGGAGGACTAAACGTGGAATGATAACCAATTAATAAAGACTGTCAATATAATATTTGATAACCCCCCATTTAAAAAATAGACGGAGGACTAACTATGGAAACCCCCCATTTATAAAGGACTATTTAAAGATTTTTACTATAAAATATATATTGAATATTAATTATATAAAATAATATTTTGAAAATATTTTATATAATAAATCTAATAAAATTATTTTTGTATCAATATCTAATATCATTTTTATTTAATTTAGAGTCAAAGTTTGCCAATCTTTATTGAAAAAAATAAAAAGTGGGCAAACACTCCGGGACGGAGGGAGTAGTACTTTACAAAAATCTTTGAAGTTACCTGCTTGGATTTTGCACCCTGTATTCTCCAGTGTTGTGCTGCAAAATTCCCTATAGAAAGGGCATTCCAAGAATAGGTGATACAACAACAACAACAACAACAACAACCCAGTTAAATCCCACAAGAGTAGGGTCTGGGAGTGTGTGTGTACGCAGACCTTGCCCCTACTCGAAAGTAGAGAGACTGTTTCCAAAGAGACCCCCGGCTCAACATCGACGAAGTTGCATTGCTTGACTAACTGCTACTTCATTAATTAAAAAAGCGCAGACAGTTTAGATATTCATTTTGATTTATTCCATCACACCCCAAAGCTAAAAAATGGTGAAATTTTGGCGCCATTAGAGAGGATGGAAATTCCAAGAATAGGTGATAGATGTCCTCAATTCCTTGTTCATATAACATGCATTCAGTAACAACAACAACAACAACAATAATTTATAAAAACAATATAAAAATACACTAAAATAACTCTTTTAAAGTTTTTTAGGTTTTCTAATTTTTCGAAGTTTTCTAGTTTCTTCCATTTTCTTCCAGTTCCTTTCAATTTCTTTCAGTTTCTTTAAATATCCAGTTCTTTTTTTCCGGTCCTAAAGAACAAGCTCTACAAAGATAATAAGTGTGTATTGATGATTATTTACTTAAAAACATTAAATTCCATAAATCTCAAAAGGTTATTGTAACTGATGGGAAATAATACGTGGCTCGGCACACATTTCCCAATTATTTACAAAGAACAGTCAAACCGGACCTGTTTAATAAAATGGAAGAATAAGAGAATATTCTCCGAATATGCTTCTCCTCCTTCCCTATAAAAGGAGGGCTCCCCCTCAATGTTAGGAGGCCTCTCTCAACACACTCCTTCCCTGCCCACAATACTCTCTCTCTAGATTTTTATAGTTTATGTTCTTCAATATGCTTTTAAGCTTCCATTAATGGCTTTCGAGCCCGATTCTTGTACCATGTACACACCTCCAATATCAATAAAAATCCCCCTTTGGCAAGGTACCGCCAAAAAAGGTCCGTGGTTTTCTCCTGATTTGGGTTTCCACGTAAAAATTCATGTGTTTATATTTTGGTGTATTTTTTAGACTAGTTTATCATTTTAGCCGGGTTAAAACGATATACCGGTCGATAATTTACACCATCACTAACAATAAACTTAAAAAAGCAACTTAACATTGTTCTTCCATTGTCATATCTAAAATTTAAATTCACTAATTTTTTTAAAGGAAAATGCTAGGGGTACACCAAAGGTGTACCCCAAATGTCCCCCACCCCCTCCTTGTCCACAAAAAATAGGCAAGAAAATTGATGGATTCATACGCAATTGGGCTACGAATAAATTGTCTTATGCTGGGAGAATTGAGCTGATTAGGGCAATCATACAAGGTGTGGAGTCATTTTGGCTCCAAGCCTTCCCCACCCAAAAATCAGTACTTAACAGGATTATTGGCCTCTGCCGTAACTTTCTTTGGGGGAGTAAGTTCGTCAAAGTTGCTTGGACTGATATTTGAAAGCTAAAAAAATGAGGGGGGACTGGGCTTAAAAGAACCCGTCATGTGGAATAATGCTTTGTTGTGTAAAGTCCTGTGGAACATTGTGGCAAAAAAGGACTCTTTGTGGGTGCGTTGGGTCAATTTAGTATATCTCAATGGCAGGTGCGTGTGGGCCTGGAGTCCTAAGAAAAAGGACTCTTGCCTTTTCAAAAAACTGACGGTGATTAGAAGTTTGCTTCTCACAAAGCTTGGTGAACCCTCGGCTCCAGAAACTGCCTTCAACCCTTTTGTGTGAACGGTAAGCTTCTATCGGGGAAAATTTATGATTTGTTTAGGGTTCATGCCAACCCAAAGCCGTGGATGGGATTCATATGGCATCCCTACATTCCACCAAAATGTTCATTCACTCCTCTATGGCTTGCTTTCCGTAGACGACTCCCTACAAAGGTTAATCTTGAATTCCTTGATGAGGGCATTTCAAGAGTATGTTCCCTTTGTGGTGTCGGCTTGGAAACCACAAGCCATCTGTACTTTGAGTGCACTGCCACTGGACAGATTTGGAGATATATTCGTGCTTGGATGGGTGTTGAAGCTCAACTGACCACTTTGGACAGAGCCCTCCGATGGTTACGCACGTATAGGAAGGGAGACGCTGCAAAGAAGAAGATGCGGAAGCTTGCCTTTGCCTGCACCACTTTCATGGTTTGGAAAGTTCGGAATGAGGTCTCTTTTGATCATAAGCCATTTGATATTATGTCCATTGTATGTAAAATCAAAGTTATGGTTTACACTATCCTTGGGCGCCTTTGGCCCTATGCATGTATTGATTTTTAGCTTGGCATGCGTGCCTGTGTATTCCTTGGTTGGTTTGGCATGCGTGCCCTGTGATCTTGTTTTATCTGTTCTACTTTAGGGTGGCTATGGCCTTCCCTTGCTCACGGGTATGCCCGTTGTATTTGTTCATTGTTTCTTCTTTAATATTATTTACCGGTTACCACAAAAATAGGCAAGAAAATTTAAAAAAAAATTTAAGTAAATAAAAAGCAAATAAAAATGAATGGTTATGAAGGGGGTGGGGGACATTTGGGGTACACCTTTGGTGTACCCCTAACATCTCCCTTTTTTAAACCCTATATTCATTCAGGAAAAAATTTTGAACTGTTTCACCTGATGACCAATAGGATACTCTGTACTAAAATTCGGAAGTTCTCAACCTCATACTCTTCCACGCACCATCACTTTTACACATGAAATCAGAATGAAAAGAGAAACCTCAGCCCCAAGTCGAATCGTCATCAAAATGGTTATAATGATGGGTTTTGAGGCAAGGTTTAAACCTCAAAAGCCAACCCGGAGTATTTGGGTGACTCGGAGTATTTGGGTGACCCATATATGACCCTTATGTTTTTTATGTTGTAATTATGTACTTCGGATAATTAATTGTGGAATTTACCATTAATAATAATCATTAAATTGACTAAACCAGAGTTGGATCTCTTTGGTACCCATGACATTGGGAATCAATGTCATGGAAACCGGCCCGGAGTTGGGTATGGTAGTGTTACAAATTAAAATTCCCAACATTATGATTGCTCCCCAAAGGGTATGGTAGTATTTCACTTGAAATCTTTTACACAAACTTACTGTTTGATTGATATATATTAGGAAGAAGATCATCCTCCGAAACAAATAGCATTCGGATATCATTTCGTGACTAAATCATAATAAAAACAAAATCAACGTAATGTCTATAAATACACATTCCACATTAGAAGCTTTGGTTGAATTGTCACTGTAATTTGTACCCTCCTCAGAGTGGCAGCATTTCTGATGTCTGCAAATCCCTTGGGTTCATGGAGAGAATGCACAGCCACTGGGGAAGGAAAAGATACAAGCCAAGAAACACAAGAACCCCTAAATCGGCTTCTTCCCCAACCGGGGGTCGACGAGGGCTCACCACGTATATTTGGCTACCACACCATATGCAATACAAGATTGAGACTAGCAGGATCAGTATAACACACCGATAGTGCTGTTTCTTGAGCTGTTTTTGAGTGTTCACTCTGCACCATACCATGCAACCATGAACCGGGAAAAAATAAAAGGACAATGTAAACAACCAGTTCTTTTGGCAATGATGTCCAATGTCGTAATATGACACTAGTCTATCTAAAATTAAAATCCCTACGGTGCTCAGTTCTACCATAAACGGGGTTTCCCCTAGGCCCCCCTTCATTTGGGTGAAAGTGGATTGTTGCACAAAGAAGAGGGTTGGGGTTTGAAGGGTGAGACCAGTTTAGGGTCAAATGGGGATTGTAGGGGCCCAATGTCATATTATGACATTGGACACCAATGTCGAAAGAACCAAGGTGTATAAACAAATAGCTGTGTTTGACGTTTGAATTGTCAGCAAAAAAGGCCTACCTGTTAATGTAAATGAAGCCGCCAATCAAGAATATGCACAAAAGGCTAAGTATTACAACAGCATCCGGATTAATGGGAGCTCGGCCGTCCCACCAACCTGTGCTCAATATCCAAGTATACATGGAAGAATGCCCATTTTCCTATTTTGTCAAAATGTTTAGGATAGACTACTCATATGGTATAAAATAAACATGCCACAACGAAAGCCAAGTAGAAATGTTTTACACTATGTTTGGTTCGTGGAATTTGAAAAGGAAAAGATAAGAGAAAGAGAGAACAAACAGTTTTTCTTGTTTGGTTAGAAAAGAAAAGTGGAAGGACAAGAAAATAAAAGAAGAAATGAACTAAGACAAAGAAAAACAACATTCTTTCCATTTTGAAGAGAAAAGGAGAGAAAACATCTTTCTTTTCTTTTCCTATCGAATTCCACGAACCAAACATAGTGTTGGTTTTTCACATTGGAACCACATTGAAGCGGTCATTGATGCCACAGTTCTTCTAAGTGTCAAACAGTCTTTCTTATTGAGTGATTTTCAAATGCACATACAAATGACAACAAGGGAACTGGGGAAATACTTATGGATATGCATACAGACCAATATTTATTTTGTTCATGAGCTCACCCAAAACAAACACTTTTCACCTCATTGGCCTCGGCCAATATTAGTTTTTCCTCAGATTGATTGTGCACGTAACACTATCCAAAACCCGTGTTCATGAAACTTGAACCATCAGTTTGGATATAAACTAGAGTCAGAGAGAAGAAATATTAGAGAATAGACAATAAGTCATCAATTCTACATAAGACTATTGGTGTTACCAAAAAAAACTCCAATGATCCTATAGATGTTGACCAAATATTCACTATTCCTCATACCATCCAAAAATTTATGTTAAATTCTTATTCCCATACATCCAACACTCATGTAAAAAAGATTTTAATCATCATAAATTATGAAAAACTAGTTTAAAACATAAACCCAAATATAAGTAACACAATGGCTAATCCAATCCGACAAACCCCAAACTAAAATGATATAATTGCAGTTAAAATGTAATCAGAACTCGGAGGTGAGAAACTTCACCTCAAACAAATGATCCAAGAAAAAATGTGACATAGAACCCGCAGCCACTAACAAAAAGCATTGTTTCATTGTAAGAGGCACCTGCAACACAAGAAAAATCAGATACAAATTATGGGGAAAAGCTAGTTCTGATATCATCATAGAATAATAATTTTATTCAGCTTGAATTTGATAGGATCATAGGAGTACAATATTTATAGAGAAACAGCTATTAGCGAATCAACGTTTTAAAAATGCTTAACTTTAGCGTTTTCAAAGTTAATTTGCGCAATAAGCAAATTATCCAAAACACTAACATTAATCATTTTTAAAGTTAATTTGCACCATTAAAAACTAATTCTAATCATTAACACTAATCACAAATGTTGTTTCCAATCAGAACCCTAATAACAACCCACAAAGTTTCAATATTTATCTATAAGTCTATCAAATACAAAAAAAATACAGTACTGAGTAAATGTATTAGAGCTTTGAGAATAACCCCAGAAATGGAATCAAGAAACCCTTTGCGGAGCAGAAACTTGGAGGCTCTGCTGTAGAGCAGGGAAAGCGGGAAGCCCAAAATAAGGATGTAGTAGAATGGGTCGTGGATCCATGGCTCAATGGATGAGCCCAAATACCCGCCCAGACCAAGTGTGGACGATAACCACTCGCAGAAGGACCCGATGTCCGGCCCGAAGAAGGAATTGATGCAGTAGGTGAGACAGTGGTGCGGGCTGAACCGGCCGTTGGATATGCTTGTCAGGGCCTGCCCAGATCCGAGCGTGTAGATCATATGCGGGCCCGGACCGGGCATTCTTCTTTTCCCGGCGGAGGTGGGTTTCCTTCCGGTTGAGAAGCACGGCGGAGTATGGCCGAAACGACTTTAGAGCATCCGCCTAGATTCGTGGTGGTCTGTCGTCAATTTTAGTGGAGAGGCGCAACTAGAATTGTCAAAACTAACACGGGACCGGATGACCCGAATTGAATAATTTAGAGTCAACCCAAATTGACCCGAAAATTGAAGAATTGGAATAGAATCAAACACCAAAAATGATTCGCACCAATCCGAATCCGAACTGAATGTATTCAAACCTGATTAATATCTGAATCTGATTTAACCCGAACTGACTAAACCCGAACCTGGTTAAGTCTGGAACCGATTAGACCCGAAATTGATCAAATTTATTACTCCGTAATATTTCATTTATCAAATGAACTTGGAGAAAAAGAATTACCTATATATTTTTACATATGTTGATGTGTTTCTAAAAAAAACATATTTAAATTATGGGTGCAACCGTGTAACTACTTTCATGTATAAATCTTTTACTCCGTATTTTATAACTTAAGTTAAAGTGTTTTTGTATTATATCACCTTCGAACTTAAAGTTTGACCAACATCGTCTCTTCAAAAATATTAGCAAAAAATATTAAAAAATAATACATTTAAAGTGTTTTTTAATACCAACAGTTTGGTAATTAATATTGCTCTATATATTTTAATTCATTATATATTTATATATATAATTATTCGAATATTTGATACATAGAATGAGATGGATAGTTAACTAGAAATGAAGGAAGTACGAAGTAGAATGTTACTAAAACGATCATGTCGAAAACTTTACGAGGGAAAACTTTAGAATGTAAACAATTAGTCAATTATGTAAGTGTTATTTTTTTATGTACATCCGTGTTAAATAATAAAATAACTACGGAGTATATCATAAATTGATTAAATTTATTATGTGATACTATTGATTTATTAGTAAATATTTAAAATATATCTAAACTAATACAAACCTAAATCGATACAAACCCGAATCAATATAAACTCTAACCGATACAAACCCGACCCGATATAAACCCAATCCGATATAAACCCAAACCGAACCCAAAAACCAGTCAAACCGAAATTAACCCAGAACCGAACCGACCTGAACCGATTATAACATATATCCAAATGAGACCCAAATTGAAAAGACTCAAACTGGAATCGAACCGATTGACCCGATTGCCATGTCTAGGCGCAACTATGCTAGGTGCAAGACCCAACTTGTTTTGCTGTATGAAGGCCTATTGCAATCATTTTTTAAAGTTGTTTATAAATTAGATTTTTTGTTATGAGAATAAAATGACTTAAATACTCCGTATTATTTAAATTTTGAAAATATTCATAAAAAGTGAAAGACAGTTTTGAAATTAATGTATTCAAAATGAAGAAAAACAAAAAAGAACTAATTTAAAAGAAGCACAGGTCTCAACAATGGACCTAGCCAAAAATAAATACAAAGGGTGGACATAGTCACCACTCATCACCCAAACACTAAGGGGGTGTTTGTTTTTCTACCAGAAGACCTTCTGGCATCTTTTGTCTGCGCCGCGCAGACGCGCGCAGATGATGGGCTCTGCAGATTGTTTGTTTTTTGGAAGACATTTCACTCAAAAAGGTCTTTCTGGCATCTTCTTGGAGAAGACATTAACCAATGTCTTCTAACATCTTCTAACATCTTCTCCTTTTTTTCTACTTCTCTTCACCACCACAACCGTCAACCGCCACCGTCCACCACCACCACCGTCCACCATCACCGTCACCGTCCATCACCATCGTCATCCACCACCACTGCCACCATCCTCCGCCGCCACCACCACCGTCCACCACCACCCTCCACCACCACCACAATCGTCCATACACCACCACCGTACACTACCACCATTAATTTATATAGCAGTCTACAGACATTAAAAAACAAACAGTCTTCTTCTTGCAGACCGCAGACCTTCGGTCCACCACTTCTCCTGCAGATGTCTACAGTAGTGGTCCGCAGACCGCAGACCTTTTCCTGCGGAAAAAACAAACACCCCCTAAATACGGAGTATGTTTTATTTAATAAATACGGAGTATCTATTAAAATAAAAGTTGTAGTTTTAATAATAATTCACATCTATTAATATTTATATAGATTTTTGCTCTTGAAAATAAATAAAACAGAATAATGGTGAATAATTTTGAAGATTACACTCAATTTAAAATTTTTATTTAAAATTTATATAACCATCTTTTTAAAATAATAAAATAACTATGTAGATTAAAAAAAGGTGAAATACATACTGATATATTATTTAGAAAATAGAAGATTTTTTAAAAATCAATGGTTATTCAATATATGAACAATGAAAGTTATTTAGTTAATGAGAAATTAAATGAAAAGGCGCCAAAGTTTTATAATTAAAATTAAAACTAAAATATATATTCTTTTATTGGAAAATTAATAAAATGAAATAAATGATGAATAATTTCAAACATTATTCTATATTGTTTTTTAACATATTAAAGTAAACATATAATAACATAATAATATATCCAGAGTGTTTTTAATTGACAGGTGTATTTATTATTTTAGAGGGTGTGACTATCACCATCCAAATACAAAACCCCAAAAAGAGTATGACATTGGCCAGCAACCCAACATGTAGTACCAAATAAATATCTAAGCACAATCTAGCAATATCACTAATGAACCCTCCTGCGACGGGTGTGAGCAAGTGAGCTAATCTAATGGGCCAAAGATATAAGACCGAAAAATACTGTCCCTTACTTCCGAGTTGGGAGGAACTCGAGGCAAAATGAAAGTAAACTATAAATTGAGGCAGCCTTATATACCATCTTTCTATTTTTGTTATACGTTATGTGTCCTACGTGTAAGGTGATGTGTAATGTAGAGGTTTCGTCTGGCCATTCAGTGGACTGGGAAAACATCTATCGCTTTTGAGGAGTTGACCTATCCAAATAACATAGACTACCGACCACGTAGACATGGAAACGAGTAAGAGTTATGTCAAAGTTTTTATTTTATGTTATTCACAAAATAAATTAGTTAAGTGTTTTGTGATCTTATTTTTATGAGTGAATCACATGTACTCCATCAATAAATTTGTTGTTATTTATTTTTATTTTTTGTTTCAAAGTATTCCTTTATAGCCAAGTTTGACTTTTTTACGTGTAAAATAAATAAAGGAAATGGAGTAGGCGAATCCGTCAACTAAAATAAATATGGGAAACGGAGTAAACTAACTAGTCTATTAAAATAAATATAAGAAACGGTGTAGGCTACTCCGTCTAACTGAAATAAATATGGGAAACAGAGAAAGCTACTCTTGTATACATTTTACTAGAAAGTTATTATTCTAATCACATATAGGCCTTTTTGGATGTTGGCTGTTGGTTGTTGGATGTTGGCTGTTTCTGTCGGATGTTCTAAATAACTGTTTAATTTAGCTGGTTTGTCCGGCAGGATGAGTTGGCCGATCGTTAAAAATGTTTGGTAAAACTAGTTATTTGAAAATAGTTGTTTTGATATATACACACACACACTCTCTCTCTCTCTCTCTCTCACACACACACATATTTGTATGTGTGTATAGACAAACACTCACACAATATTTTTTTAAATTTTGTACATGTAAAAATTAAATCGTTAATATGTGGAGTATAAAATTTCATTTTCATATAATCCATAAGAAATTATTAATATATAACTTTTTACTGATTTTTACTTTTGATTTTCTCATATCTTTTTTTGATAATTTAAAAGTTTAATTTTTTTTTGTAATTTTTGATTTTTTTAACTTTTATTTTTATTTTTCTTTTACATAAATTATAAAATGTCTTTCAAGAAAAATGAATAAATTTTTTTATTTTCTAAAAGCCAAGTTCAAAAGCTACTCCTCTTGGTTTTTCAGATTTTGACATTTCGAATAAAAAAGTCAAGTGAAAAAGTCATCAACCAAACAATAGTTTTGGTGGTTCAATTAGTCAAACAAGCCAAAATCAATCAAATATATTAAAAGCTGTTTAAAAAACTATTTTCTAAACACAGCCTTACGGAAATAATAAAATATAAAAAGGATGTAGAGTGCAACTAGTAATCTTTGGATTTCCAATACCAATCACCAACTATACTCCCTTAGTCCTAACATAATTTACTTTATTGTTAGGGTTTCTCTATAACTTCTATTTGTTTCATGTTTTCATTGATTAATAAATAAAATAATTCTTTTGGCCACTTTTTATTTTGTAGAATTTTTTAGGCAATTTTAAATGTATACTCCCTTCGTCCTAATTTTGATTATAATTTTTTTCTCTTCTCGATAACTTTTATTTATTTATTTGTTTTTATTGATTTTTTAATAAAATAAAATATTATTGTCGCATCTCGTCCTGTAAAATTTTTGACATAATTTTTTAATATGTAATTTTTATTTTTACTAATATATCAATTTATAAATAAAATAATTTTAAAAGATGAGAGATTTTACCTTATAAATCCTAATTTGTAATCAAATTTGGGACAGAAAGAGTAATTTTTATTTTTGTTTCAATATTAAGTAAAATTATTTTAAAAGTTACATTATCTTACAAGTTGATTAAAAAAGTACATAATTTATTTTATGAGGGAAGAAGTTAGGATTAAGATACTTGTACACCAAAACTTACATCTCATTTGTATCCCAAAGACATGCATCGATAATTTGTGCTCGTGTGAATCTAGCTAGTATGATGGTCTACATTGATAAAAAATGTCAGTGTTAATTTTTTTAAATGAATTAATATTTTATATTAATATAAACCATTAAAATGTCGGTACATTTTTTAAAGTATAACTCGGAGTATATGTTTTTATATAGTCTAGCATGATTGAAGAAATAAGGAAGCATGTGAAAACAAAAAAGAGTTCACAAGAAAGGAGATTTTAAAAGGTAATGCTAGACTCACAAACTAAATGTTCACAAAATACACAAACTTACCCAATATGTAAAGTAATGGTTTGAACTAATGGCCTCAAACAATTAAAAAATAAAAACAAAAATACACAAATAGTAAATTTGTGTATTTTGTGAGTGCTTTGTTTGTGACTCTAGCATTATTCGATTTTAAAAGTTTTGGCCACGACAATTGTGGCAAGTATGCGCACAAAAAACGTTAGTTGAAGATGAGTTAGCCCCACTAGCGGTCCAGCGACGGGTCAATTATCAATCCTTTTTTTTTAAAACAATTATCAATCCCTTTAATTCCGTATTAAGAAAAAAGTTTGGGGATTCAGGAGAGGAGTTTCATCTCCCCCATTTCTTCCCTTGATTGGTTAACCACCGCCACCCGTTTTGCTTCCTCTTTATCTACGGCGGCGCGTCATTTGCGCTGGCCGTGCATCGGCCTTGCCTCTTATATCACGCATTCCAGATGGGCCAGTCTCCGTCGATCCACCACCAATCGTCGCCGGGTGGGTCTACTAACCGTCTCCGCGGCTGTTATCCCAAGGCTGCTGGTAGCTGCCGCCGATCAATGGCTGACCAATCGGATCCGGCGCAGGTGGGCGTCGATTGCGCCTCGGATTCGGAAGATGGTTTCGGGAGATACGATTACAGCGATGACATTCCTGACGAATGTCTGACTCTGATTTTTCAATTCCTGAGCTCCCGTGACCGGAACAGCTGCGCTCTCGTCTGCCGGAGGTGGCTCGTCGTGGAAGGACAGAGCCGCCACCGCCTCTCCCTCCACGCCAAATCTGATATCCTCTCTCACGTTCCCGTCCTCTTCTCTCGATTCAATTCCGTCACCAAACTGGCCCTCCGGTGCGACCGCAAATCCGTAAGCATAGATGACGAAGCTTTGGTCCAAATCTCTCTCTGCTGCCGTAACCTCACGCGGCTGAAACTGCGCAGCTGCCGCGACGTCACGGATGTGGGGATGGCAGCCTTAGCTAAGAACTGCAGGAGCTTGACAAAGTTCTCCTGCGCATCTTGCGTGTTTGGAACCAAAGGTATGAATGCTCTGCTGGATAACTGTTCTTCCCTTGAGGAACTTTCTGTCAAACGCCTCCGAGGCATCAACGATGGCCTAGCAGCTGAGCCAATTGGCCCAGGAGCTGCCGCTTCGTCTCTGAAATCCATTTGCTTGAAAGAGCTCTACAATGGACAATGCTTTGGGCCATTGATCTGTGGGTCAAAGAATCTGAGAACTCTTAAGCTTTTGAGATGTGTTGGGGATTGGGATAATCTGTTGGGGAACCTTGGTGGTGGGCAAAATTGTTTGGTGGAGATGCATCTGGAGAGGCTTCAAGTGGGTGATTTTGGGCTCAGAGCAGTGGCAAAATGCCTGGATTTGGAGATCTTACACTTGGTTAAGACACCCGAATGCTCGGATGAAGGTGTTGTAGCAGTGGCTAAGAGCTGTAAGCTCTTGAGGAAAGTCCACATTGATGGATGGAAGACAAATCGGATAGGAGATGAGGGCTTACTTGCCATTGCTGAGAACTGTTCTTACCTTAAAGAGCTCGTTCTTATTGGTTTAAATCCTACCTCTACTAGTCTCTCTGCAATCGCTTCTAATTGTCGGCAATTAGAGCGATTGGCCCTGTGTGGTAGTGAGACAATTGCCGATCCTGAAGTCTCCTGTATCGCCAAGAAATGTGTGTCTCTGAAGAAGCTTTGCATCAAAGGATGCGAGGTGAGTGATGAAGGGATTGCTGCTTTTGCGTGGGGATGTCCGAATCTAGTGAAAATTAAGGTCAAGAAATGTAAACGCGTAACGGGTGGATCTGCAGATTCACTGAGAGCGAGGAGGCCTTCCCTGGCAGTGAATTTGGATGTGGGTGAAGTTGAAGGCGGTGAGCGCTTGGATGGGAGTGCAAGTGATAGTGGAGCACAAGATGGTGCAGAGTTCCACTCCTCAGTCATCAGTGGTGGTGGTGGTGGTGATATTGCTTCTTCTTCTTCTTCTTCAGGTAGTAGCAATGGCAGAGGTTGTTCATCATCAGCATCATCTAAGTCCAGGTTTGGATTTCTTGTTGGAATAAACCTTATGCCTTGCACGTTTAGAGGATTTTCAAATGGCAATGGTAGCTCCAATGAAAGCTAGCTAATGAGAGCTATCATCGTTTCTAAAACTGGTAGGTTTTGTATTGTAAAATGAGTTAGAGCTGTGTTAATCAATGTCCAAGTCTCTCTTATTTGTTCCAAGAATTGATGCCCCCGAGAGACGACAATGTATTTTTTTTATGTTCAAAAGTGATTGAAGTTTAAACATCATATTTCATACTTGCTTCCCAAATTTGTCTTTGTTCATGTTTACATTATGATGTTGATGATCATACAAAGTTTATGGTTTATGTTGCACCGAAACAGGTATAAACTCTTGTGTGAAAGCGGGTGTTTATAAGCTAATCAAAATTGTTTATAAATAAATTTTAATTTATAAGTCAACTAATGATATGTTTTTCTCTGCTTATAAGCTGTGACTTATAAGTTCTTTAGAAGCCAGAAAAAATAAGTAGGTCTTACCTACTTATTTTTAAGCTAGTTTTTTCATTTCTCCATTTTGACCAAATTATTTACAAAAGTGTCTTTCGCCATTTATGAATATTCCGAAACGATTTCTATATCATTTAAGTAATTTTACTTCCACGAAAGAATGTCTGGCTTATAAGTAGCTTATAAGTTAGAAACCGTTTATCAGTAATAAATCAATAAGCACGCACAACATTCCTTTAGCTCTTTTGTATATGCTTCTAGTTTTTGTTAACAATCCATGGCTTTTACTAATCTGTTTTCTGTACATATGAAAGTATGTATCTCTCCTCTTCCCTTCACAATGAAAATTCAACTCAACTATTTCTAAAACTATGAACTTTATTGTGTTTAGTTTAACAAAAAAATTGTAAACTTTGGAATTCAGATACTTGAATGTCTTATGTATTGCTAAAAGATTACATTTTATTAAGAAAAAATAACATGCTTTGACATACACTACGTGTGTGTGTGTGGTTTGATCATCAGTTGACAGTTGATGAAGTATACTTTCATTGGGCCTGATTGGGAATAGCGTTAGAGATTAGTGTTAGCATTTTGAAAAGGCTGTCTACGGACCGCGTTTAGCGTTAGCGCTTTCAAAGTAATCTGTACCTACAAAATTTTATCCAAAATACTAACGCTAATTTCTAACGATATTTCCAAATAAGCCCATTATACCAAAACACTAACTCATATTTGGTTCAAGGAATTTTGGAAGGAAAAGAAACAATAAAATAATTTCTTTTTTTCCATCACCAAAATGAAATGAATCCCGTAAAAAAATGAAAAGAATCAAGTTTTTCCTCTTCTTAGTCTATTTTGTCTTTTTTATCTTTTTCCTCCCAATTTTCTTTTCTTTTTACTCTCTAATCAAACATGAAAATTGCTTTCCAAGATTAGAATGATCAAGGTTTGCTAAACAGCATTTAGTATTTTTGCAATTTGTTAATTCTAAAAAAACTGCTTTCCAAAACAAATGCATTTGAAATAGCATCTCCTCATCCAAACGCAACCTGAGACTTAATAAAATATAAAATAATTCCACAACTATCTGTACAGATAGATGCTGTGGTGGTTTGAAAATGAAGAGCATCAGGCGGAAATATTGGGGGTTAAAGTATGAAAAAGTATGGATGAGGAAACGGTTGATTCGGTCAGTCTACTACGGCCATGTTCACTTCAACTTATTCTTATTATATATGGAGTATCATTTTTTTTATTAGAATCAGATCAGGTCAGATTGATCAGAAATGACTTTAAATATACCTATATCCAGATCAGATCAAAATCCGATCAAATCAGAACTTATTTTAATCAGATTAGAACTATTCAGATTCAGTGGAAAGGACATGGCCTACATCCCAATAATAGCTGTGATGTTGAGGAAACCATAAATAAATAAATAAAGATAATGAAGCTGTAAAATCAACGGAGACTATTTCAATGAGGAGACTTGAGAGGAAATTTCTAACTTGTCTTTGCCGTGACCTTTTGGCTGTTAGGATTATTCTTAGTGTACACCTAGATGGATTCATATCTTGTCATGCATCTTCATAAATTATTGAACCTAATGACTTGGCTTTCATGATGGACATGGTTCGTGACGGTTCAATATTTTCGTAGAATCCGTATTGTACTATTAAATTTCAAACGGTTTAATACAGTTTGATTTTACGATTTATAATCATTCGGTACTGATGGTGTAAATTACCTAACTGGGTAAATTATACTAGACCGGGTCACTTTGCGTGTTTTTACCAAAGTGACATGGTAAAAACACGCAAAGTGACCCGGTCTAGTATAATTTACCCAGTTAGGTAATTTACACCATCAGTCTTGGGAAGTGTGGGAAGAGCGGCTCCGAACTGCCGGTTACTTTCCACTCCCCACCTATTATGTTCTTGACATTCCTTCCCATGTATCCAAAATCGCTCTAAATAAAGTTCGTAGAAGGCTCCCTGATGGGTATGTCCTCTAATACGAGCACGATTGGCCCAACATAGTTGAACCCCACCGGGAGAATAGGATAGGTTTCCACATTGTTTCTTTGGATGGGAGCATTGTTTTTCCCCTTCGCCCCCTCCTGACTGAAGTCTGCCATGCGTTTAGGATTTTGCCTGGTCAATTAACTCCTAACGCCCACCGCTATTTGCACTCCTTTGTAAATATTTGTTCTCATCTCAAAATCGAGCCTTCCCTTTGCCTTTTCCTTTTTTGTTTCGAAGTCTTACCGGGTGGGACCGGTTGTGAAGGCTTTGTCTTCTTTAAGGGGCGAACCGGTAGGAAATTTATTTCCAACGTCCCCCAAAGTAACCGGGGATGGAAGGAAAAGTTTGTTTTTATTGAGTTCCTCCCTTCGTCACTCCATTGGTCGGCTTGAAGTGGAACGACCACCTCCTCGACCAAGAGTATGTCGCGCCGGCTTCCTCCCCCGATCTTGAAGCGAGCCTCGAGATTCTCCTTCACGGTGATCCATTCACCGGGAGGAAAATCCATTATGGAAGCTGGGTCTGGAGAATCCAACTGGGTGGTGAGGGTACCTCCCAGGCCCATGAAGCAGCGGGGTGCGGGGTACCCTCCCCGGGCAACAATGCAGAGGCCGAGGGCAACTCCCACCCAGGTATTTGTGATTCACTTTGTACATTTCTTTTCCTTAACCGGTGCCATTTGCTATACTTAATGATTTTTGCTGGTTTTTGCAGACATGGAGTTCGAGGAATTCACCATCTCCGACGATCAGCTAGCAGGAGAGACCGGCGGCTCCCAAGCTGCTTCTGCAAAGACTTTCCTGGTCAATCAAGAGACCGTGGAAATCTTTGATGAAGATGAACCCAATACAACCGGTCTAAGGGGAAGGAGAAGGCCGGTCTCCGGACGAATAAGGTGGCCACTACCCATCATTCCTTTGGCAAGAAGAGGCAAAGGGCAGATTCTGACATGGCGTCCCAATCCGTTGAAGAGGCCTTTATCAACCTCGGCTTGAGGCTGAGGGAGGTAAGTTAAATTCTCTTCCCTGTTATTTCAGTCCTCATTTCTCACAAAAATGTAACCGGTGCTTTGCGAATGGTGCAGGTTGGGGGAATTGGACCGCTTACAGCGGACCAGTTGGGGATGAGCTCTCCTTCCGAGGTTGCCCGGCTAAAGAAGGAGAAGGAGGAGATGACTCTCATCCTGAAGAGCCAGACGGACGAGCTGACCAGGCTTTCTGGGATGGCCGGGTCAATGAAGGCGGAGATCTCCCAGCTGAAGGAGGAGAACGACCAGCTGATGGATGAAGTCTCTGAAGCCAAGAGGGAGATGGCAAAAGAGGAAGAAACCTTCCCCGGGCGCGCAGCCGCTTGGGTGGAAGAGAACATGGCGGAAGCTGCCCGGGTAATAACGGCAACTCCGGAAGTTACGATGGAATCTTTGAGGTTCCTTTACCGGGAGCCTGAAGGGAGGACGATGATTACCGCGATTGGATCCTTCGGATTCAAGAGCGGTCAAAAGAAAGACCGGATCGCTTCCCATCGGATTCTATTGAAGAGAGACCCGGATTTCACTACAGCTTCCTACGGCCTGGCTCCCAACCCAGAGGAAGAGCCTACTCCCCCCTTCCTCTTAGATTAGGATCTCCCCGGCTGTGTCCAGTTGTGTTTTAAAACTTAAGAATCTTCAATTTCCCGGGAATGCTCGGTGCATTTTGTAAACAATTAACATTCAACTTTCGAAGTTCAAATGCATGTTTACTTTTCAACCCGGGCATATTTGTTTTTTCTTCGAATGCTTCTTGTTTGATATTCTGCCCTTAGGATGTTTCCATAGGTACTTTCACAAGTACAGAAAATGCAACCACTTTGAATTTTGAATCTAACTACCTTCTGCTGGTAGAACTTCAATCTTTGCTTTGAATTCTTCTTTTTGACGATTGACCGGAATATGAACCTATGTTTGACCGGTAGTTTCCCTCTTCATGGTCTAACCGGTCAAGTGATTCACCTTGACGAACTTTCAAAGTTCTGCTGTATTGATACCCAACCGGGGTATTCTTTTTTTGGTAGGTCGTAGATGGAAACACCTGTAACCTGGTAATTTCTTAGAGTATCCTTAACCGGTAAGAATACTAGAGAATTACCCATGTCGAATGGTTTCGAACCCTCTGTAAGGTTCAAATTCACCCTTCTTCCAGGGCCCCTCTTCCGGGTGATTAAGTCTTTTAATGGTCCTTTGATATCTACAATCTCGGGAAGGCTAAGGCTCACCCCCCGTTCAAGTCTTCCTTGAGAAGGGGGGATCCGAACCGCTCAGAGTAGGATGCGTCAATGTGAACGATCCCTTTCTATTTCTTTTCATGGGCATCTTTTAGTCCCCAATCAGTTTGGCGGTTTCGGCTGATTCCCCGATACCAGTCCAACCTCATGGGCCCGTGTAAGTACGGTTCGAACCTTCTTCCAGGTCCAGCCCTCTTGCAGGCATACCCCTCTTCCGGGTTTATATATTATTTTTTTTTATTTTTTACTGAGCAAGAAAGGTGTAGTAACCAGCGTGCCAGGTCCGGGCCTGTGTCTCAGTTGGCTTATCCAAGTGGATTCGATCCACCCGGGAAGCCCTCCTAGGATAGGTTCGACCTATCACTTCCTTTGCTACCAAGTAGACTATTTGAACTTCATCGATTTGATCGATAATAGAAGTAGGCCTCGCCTAGTATTACAATCATTTATAGAATTTTCGAAGATAATGAGAATTCCAAGTTCTTTCTACCGGTATACCATCTAGAGTTTCTAACCGGTAGGTTCCCGGACGAATGATTGCTTTCACCCGGTAAGGGCCTTGCCAATTTTTTGATAGTTTTCCTCCATCCCCCGGCTTACTAGCCTCTCTTCTTCGCAAGACTTCATCACCAACTTGGAAGTATCACGACCCAACCTTGTTGTCGTGGTACTTCTTCACAACTTGTTGGTACGTACTCATTTTCACTTCCGCAACCATCCTTCATTCCTCGACCAAGTTGAGTTCGGCTAAATGGTTCTCTTCATTTTGCTGGGGTTGATAGTTTGATTCTCGGAATGTTGGGAACTCGGCCTCGATGGGTAGTCTTGCTTCACACCCATAGGTTAGGGAGAATGGAGCATCAACAAAACGTGACGAAGACGTAGAGATTCGATCAAACGGTATACAAACCATCACTGTAAATAAATTTATTACTAAAATTGATTTTCCAAAAAATTCAATTATTTTAAAATATCTAAGAGTTAGAATAGAAATATGTACCATTTGTTAAGTTGCTCAACGGCGATGTAGTGTAATTTTACATGTCCTTTCCGCACCTTCTTTCATTTTCTTTAGTAGTATTAGATCTTCCATTTTCTATATAATTTGTCAAAATGAAAATATAACATACAAATTCAGTTAGTTTATAAATATTTAAATAACATTAACGTTTAACATTTCATTAAATTTAAATAATCGGTAAGAACACTGCTGAGATCATACAATACAATAATAACAATGGCCAACGTCTTATGAATGAGTAATAAAAAAACAACCCAATGGTGGATTTTGGCTATTTATACAACCATTGATGTCTAACAAAACAATTAGCGTCTTACAATATTTAGGATATTACACATTCCTTGTAAACTACAAAAATTATTTTATAAGATAAACTAACATTGACGCTAATATTCAAACAAAAAACATGAAGTACTTAAATAATCATTACTCCAAAACATGTGTTGGGTTAACAAAAACAACATAGTCATCATTGAAATAGTTTCTGTTGGCTATTTTAAGCCTTTTAGATCTTCTCAACGTTGGGAGCGTAGTTGATATTTCCATTCCTTGCCCGGAGGGAGAAATTGGTGGCAGAGGTGGTGAATTAAGCGGAGGAGAAATAAGCAATGGAGTCGGCAATGGTAGTGGTAAAATAGCACAATCATCACAAATAAAAATGGACCAAAACCGACATCTCCAATTTGCAAGCAGCGCATATGATTAAATACACTAAAACATTTCCAACACATTTCCATATCAAGTGAATCTTCGTTACTATTGCACTAGTAACATGGATCAATTAAACTTCCAATTCCTCCTATATTTGTAATAAAAAAAATTATATTAGGATTTTTTAACATATAAAGCTAAAAGAATAAATTAATAAATAATTAAAGTATTAAACTGGCCCGTAGTGTTAATTCGGCCCAGCCCCAATGTTCAAAACAAAAGAAATGGCCCAGGCCCATCTACATTTCCGTTTTTAGCCAAATCCCAGATTACCTCTACCATTCGCCGCTGCCTACGACTCTCTACATCTCTCTAGAAACCCTACATCTTCCTGATTCACAAATTGAGCATTCACCGCCTCCTAGAATCATCTACCATCGTTATCTGGATCCTATCGATGCATACGCCAACGTCTTGCTGCGTTTTTGAACTACTCCGACACTTAATTTTCATCATGCGGTAATATTATTCAATCTCATGGAATCTCAGATCTGATTTTTCTCCTCTTAATTCACATTCAATATTTCTAGATCTTGAAATATGGGAAATATATTCAATCTCATGGAATCTCAGATCTGTTTTTAACATTTTTTAACTCACAGATCTGTATTTAAGAAAACCATAATTCTGTGAAATAATTCCATATTTGCAATGGAGAATTACACATTCTACTGCTGATTTTATTTTTTTCGGTCCATTTAAAATCTGGAATCTGAATTCCTTTTTTTAAAGCATTTGAAGTAGATATTTTTATAAGCAATTCCTGTTTGGTTTTCAATAATAGTTAATAGAAAGGAGACATTGAATGTGAATCATGCACCCTCTCATGAGCATGAAACTGATCTGATTTTTTAAATGAAAAACTGATCTTTTTTAAGATTATACTTTCTTTACGTGTAAAAAGTGTTCTTTATTATTAAACTATTATATTCTGATAGCAGGGAGTACAGATGAAAGCTAAACTCAAGTTATTGTACCTCACTAATCATGTTCAGTAATCTTTAAACATGATTAAGGTTCAATTGCACATTAACATATTTTTTATGGTATATATACATGCACACACATAGAGAAATATATATATATATATATATATATATATATATATATATATATAATTTGTATCAAAATTTTAATTTTAAATATTAAAATTATTATGTATGTATTAATTTTTTTTAAACCAGTCAATTTACTTCCTCTATGTATATATCTATAAAACAAAATTTGGAATTAAAAATTAATACTTATTTTAAAAACTGCCCAAGAAAAAATCACCAAATACTCTTCGAACTAAATTTATTTTTATTTTGAAAGAAAGTTTTTTTTACATTAAATGTATGTTTAATATGAAATTAAAACATGAAATCCTTTATTTATTGTATATTTTTATTTTTTTAAATTACTTCAATGTTGATGGGAAGTGGCATTTAATGGGCTCGATCTCGTGTCAGGTAGTTGATCTAAGCATGGGCTGTAAATGTCCGTGGGCTATATTTAATTCATTGTACTTGATTAAGTCTATTCTATGCATAGGCGTGCGGATCTATTTTTTCACTACATTTATATTTCATGTCACTAAATTTTAATTTAGTATTATTTTACTGGGACTAAAAAATTATTATTTTGTAATATGAATACATATTATTATACACACAGTCACAGAAATATATACATATATATATATATACATAGATACATACATACATACATATATATATATATATATATTAAAATATTAATTTTAAATATAAAAAAAATTCACTCTATGTTTAAATATATTTTTCAACAAATGAAGTTTACTGTTGTATGTATGTATATATAAAAACAAATTTCGAAGATAAAATAGTTTTTGAATTTGATCTATTTTTAGTTTTGCAGACAAATTTTAGCATTAAATGTATGTCTAGTATGATTTTATTAAGAAATAAAAACAAGAAATCCTTTATTTATTGTATATTTAAAATTTTTAAATTAGTTCAATGGTGATGGGTAAGTGTCATTTATTGGGCTGGATCTGTTGTCGGCGTGTGGCTCTAGGCGTGGGCTGTCAATGTCCATGGGCTGCATTTTATGCAATGTACTTAATTAGCCTATGCATATCTAGGCGTGTGCATCTATATTTAAAGTCTAGTCGGTTATCTAATTACCAATGGGTTGTCCACACACACACACATATATCTTTAAAATAAAATTTGGAATTTATATATTAGTCGACGACCTTAATTTATTCAAAATGTTAAAGTTAAATTTTTTTATACATTATGTATTGTTTTGAATTTTTTTAAAGTTTTGAAACCGGAAATTTTTTGCTTATTGGATTTATTAATTAAATTTTATATGAAGTGTAAATCACATTAAATGGTTTATATCCCTGTTGGTGTGCTCCTGTAGGTGTGGGCTGTCCATCTCCATGGACAGCCAAATAACCACGTCGACAGCGTATTGCTAGGCCCAATAGCAAATCACGACTCCATATGAATGCAGGCCCATACCCAAAACCATTCTCGATTTTTAAAAATTCAAGCGACATAGTAGTTGGCCGATACCAAATCCCACTCATTACGAAGTCAAATCCCACCTTGAGCCTGGGGTGTATCGAACCACATACCGAATACACTATTCTCTGCCTCACACCATGAGAATGCAATAAATTGCAATGTTCTCAATCCCGTTTTTTTTAATTTTTCTAAGTGATTCATTATTTATGTTTTTTAATAAACCTACGACTTTAAATTTACCGATTTAATTCATTCCCTTTTTAAAGTATGAGGAATGGTAACATTAACTTATTTTTGAATCACCTAGAATAATTTTAAAGAATGGAACAAAATGATATTTGTTATTATATCAGAACCGAAAAAATTTAAGTACTTTTTTAATTTTTTTATGTTACATCTAACTTAACTTAATTGTGAATAATATGAATAAATCCTAAATGATTATGGGCACTGCGTATGGAGTCGAACAACCAAGTTAAATTCTGAAAAATTTAAATATAAGATCCATGTAGATTACAATTGGCCCACACCAAATCCCCTCATTAATGGCGTCCAATCAATCACAATGGGGTTCATAAAAATGATCATGTATTGCACCTTGAGCCACTCGCCCAATACACTATTCGATTTAATAAATGACACTGTTTCAATCCCAATGGATGCCGCCATTTCGTCCATCACAAATTATATTTTAAAAACAGTTAATACTTTGATATATATACATATATATACATATATATATATATATATACATACATACACACACACATATATATATATATATATCAATTTTTGTAAGATTGGTCATTCGGGTTATTCATACAATTGTTAGTGGTTTTAAGCTATAGATTCCGCATACATATTTTCATATATCGTTTGGAAGTGTGCATGCGTTTTTTATATGGAAGTTTAATCCTTACGGTATTGATTTAAATTCTAATAAAGTGGATGCATGCCGTATAATTATTTGAGTAATGTAATTGAATTAGTATTCAGCACAAGTTATCAAAATCCAGCGATTACTTGTATGTAATTTAGAAATGCATAGTGCAAGATTTCAGTTATGACGGTAAAAAACTTCAAATAAAATGAGTTTTGGAGGTTACAACCAATACTATAACCAAAAAAAGTTGATAACCCCGAAAGTAGACCACCCACATCCCACATCATAACAAAACACATAACAAATAAAAATAGGTAGGGTGTTCAAAGATACAAAAACACATTGATTTTCAGTCCCAAGGAGTTTGATGTTGAGTCTCTAGGAGTTTCCTTCTTGGTTTTCTTGCTAGCACTTGTTGACATTTCATCAAACAGCTCCCTTTTCAACGTTTCACTCTTGTCCAAATCGGAAATCCTTTTTTGCTTGGTGTTGACACTCTGGCTAGAGCTTGGATCATTGGAACCAATCTATAAGAAAATGAAAAAATTAGTAATGTAATAAAGATAATTAGTGTTAAGGAACATATTTATTAATAATTTGGTTTACCACTTCATGCACTTTCAGACTCAAATCCTCAAGAGATGCCCATAGACCTTCGCTTTCTTTGTGAGCTTCTTCATCTTCAATCACAACCAAATGTTCATACTTGTTCAAGATCTTTGGATCGGTAACCAAAGACCTCACCCCAAAAGCTCTCGGTCCAGTCTAGCTTGGACTCCCAAGTTCGGCCTTCAACACAACATGGAACAAACCCTTCCGACCAAGGAAGCGGTTTTGTTCAAGCGGTACGAAGTTTGGGTCCATCTCTTTCTAGAAAAAGAGAATAATAAGACAATTTAATTCGTTTTTTTGTTGGGAATACACTAACGTACTAATAAAAAAAATTTGAAAATATTGTTTTTCCCTAACCTCAAGCATAATTTCCCTCAGTACAAACACACATGCTCCCAAGATTTCCTTACACTCTCGGTCCCAAAGTACGAATGAAGCGTGACCGGTGTGATCATAGACTTGAACACTGATCTTGTACCTATTAAATAAAGTTTGAAGTGTGGTTATTTTTTCAATTCCAGCACTCTTCCCGAATATATGATATGTTCATTTTGTATATGCACCAATGTTTACCTCTACACCCCATGCGGTATGGTAATTGCATAACCCGAACACTTGAACTTATCACCATCAGGAATGACCTTTTTGTTGCACTCTGTACATCCCAAGTAGCACCAATCACTTGAATCATTTAGTGAAGCTATCTCACCGAGATTCCAGTAGGGCCCAGACCGTCCAAAAAATGGAAGTAATTTTTATTATTAAAATATAATATCATTTATTCGGTAGTATAATATTAAAAGTACCGTATTTACCTTCATGTTGTCCAAAAGAGCTTTGATTGTGGTAGTTTTAATAACACCTTGGTCCCCGACATCTCCACCGCTCAGAACGATGCTTCCCATTCCCATTCCGTTTTCCACTTGTGGAGGCAACCTATGTAAATGGAACCAAACGTTAGTTGAGTAGATCTAAATTTAACACCTAAATTATTCGCTATTTAGAAAGAAATAATATACCTTGCTCTAAATTCCTCAACCTCGGGAGAATTACCATCGAAAAGTATCTTGGTAACATGAAATGCAGTAGAGACAGTCACAGTCCCTACAAAATATGGGCAAACAAATGAAATTTCGTTCATGTTCAAATAACAAAGCACGAAATACAAACAATACGTTGTTTACCCATATAGCGTCTCGGGCGGCAAAAGCTCAAATGCATAATAACCGGTTCCTGGTTGTTTTGGGTCAAACAATCTATGAATCGGTCCACGTATTCTCCCCATAGGGTGCAACCCAAACGATTTCCCCTGTAATATCGTAACATAGAGCAAAACTGAATGTAATATTTATTTCAAAAACATTTCTTTTGTAATTATTAACTCATACTCATGATCTTCTAGGGTAACTTCCATCATTTTTTGTTCCACGCCTCTCTTTGAGTTTGTTTGAACATTTGTTCGTGCAACTATCTTTCCAATCACGTCTGCATTAATATTTCGTAATTTTCAACAATGGTAACGTATGATGTGAAAAACTGGCTTTTGACTAATAATCGATATTTGATAATCGTTTTTGAGATATAATACCAATCAAGAGTTGATCATTCAAACACGGTTGGGTTTGAATAATTGGAAAAGGTTTCAAGTCAAACATGAAGCGTGGGAAATCCGGCCGATTCAAAGTTTTCACATCAATGTCTTTGAAAATCCCAAAAGCTTATCATTTGAAGTGGTTTTCAAACTTTGGTAGTTGTCATGAACAAACACATTTCGAATGGCAAAAACACCACCCTCAATGATTTGATTTTCAAATTTACTTTTTTCCGGTCGGTTGAGATGAGCGTGAATCCTCGTTCTCTATTAAAAAAGTAGGTGAGATATTGAGATTTAATAGTTCGAAAATAAAAAGAAGTTGGGGAATACGATACATGCTCATCGTGAAATATAATCTCCATGGAATCCGCGCCTTTCGCCCACCTCGGAACGAAGTAAACGCGCACAACACTTAACATGAGAATCCAAGATTTGCGAGTGTTGTCTAGGTCCGCAATTGGAGCAAACATTGTTCTCGAATTGTTATGTGGAGGTAGAGCCATTGTTATGAATTTTCAAATGCCACTTTACTCGGTACTAATATGTGTTTAGCCAAGCAAATACATCATTCTATATATATATACACACACACTCCGTATAATTGCATTAATTGCTTGGATTGTAAATGTATAATTGATTTGCTTTATGGAGCCACACACCACTTCAATCTACTTTATGGAGCAACGCACCACTTTAATGTTAGCCTTGGTATGCTTAATCTCATGTTTTGATGTTAACAAATAATTTTATTGACAAAATCTACTAAAACGCGTTGATTGCGTCAATACGTTCGCTCACACAGGACTAGCATAGAATAGCTTAGAGTCATTTATTGTTAAAGATATTTGAATGATATATCTCTAAGCTAAAGCTAAATTTTGCACACACATAAAAAAGATTTTTACTTGGGTATTTATTTTTAAAATACATTTAATAAATATTTTCGAAAAACATATTTTTCAAAATATTTAACTAAAGTTATAGCTCTTCTCAATACGAGATCGTTGGTTCTTGAATTTCTCAATTCCGATTAGTATTGAAAAAGTTATTAACATTTTACCAAATTTATTTTAAAAATTGCGCACAGGGTGACGAACGGTCGATGTGGTGAACCGTTGCTCCATAACGGTCGACCGTCCTGTTGACCGTTGGAGAAATTGAACGTTACCCTGAACGGTCGACCGTTTGGCTTGAAACGGTTGATGTGATGGACCGTTCGGAGACCAGATTCCTTATTTCTTGTCTTTTTCACCCCCAACGGTTGGATTATCTTAATTATTGTATTAGGAGTTAATTATTCTTCTCTAACAGCTATTTTTCAATTTCAAACAACTCTTAATCCATCCCTATAAATACCCAAACCATTTCAATGTTTTTGATCAATCAAGCTTTGCTCAAATCTCTTAATTCTTTCTTCTTGTGTTCATAAAAATCTCTGATTTTTATTAGGCTATTAAAGAGTCATTTCTTCAATATATTTTCTTGAACACACATTGAGCTTGATCCAAAGAGAGATACACTCATATTATCTATAAGAGAGTTGTAATTGTTAGAGTGTATAGAAATCATCACACCAACCCAACCTTGTATTTCATATTCTTGAGGTGGTGTTGATTCATATTATTCAAACTTCTATATCTCTTGTAATCGGTCGAAGATATCCGTTGTAAAATCTTCATTAAACGGTTGGAGATAGCCGTGGTGAAATCTCCGGAAGTGGTCAAGGACATCCGTGAAATCCTTGTTAAGACGGTTGGAGATAGCCGTTGCAAAATCTCTAGGTTGAAGAAATCCTGCAAATCTTCGGTGCATGGTTGGGGATAGCCGTTGGAAATTCCTCAAAACTAGTTGGATACTTCAAGGCGTGAAGTAATGGCGATCTAGTGTAAACCTATTAGCAATGGTTTGTTTGCCAAAAACTAGTTCCGTCATGACGATCGTGTTGAGACGGTCAAGGCGTTCTAGTGGATTGGAAATCCTTGAGGAGGCGCCTCGAGGTACTGGAGTAGGGAGTTCCCGAACCAGTATAAATTCGGTGTGCATTTTATTTACACTTTTATTTTTGCGTTTTATTTATTGTTTCCGCATTTGCCAACACCATTTTTATTAAACTCCGAAAAGTTTTCAAACGCCTTATTCACCCCCCTCTAAGGCGTGGGCACAATGACTAAATCGACTAACATTTAATTATTTTAAAAGGAGTGATTGGACAACTCTTATCATTGATTAGACCACACATTTATTGCACTATCAAAACCCGTCCCATTGGCCCAGCCCGAATCGGCCCAATCCTACACACCCAAATTGGCGGGAACACTGTTCAAAAGGCAATTCTAGCATTGTATATAACAAGATTTTAACTTCCTCTAAATGTTTTTTTGTTTTCAAATTTTTTGTTTAATAACATTTTTTCATTTTTTCAAATTTTTTTTGATATATGTCTTTTAAGTTTTTTTTGTTTTCGGTTTTTTTATTTGTAAATTTGTTTGCTTGTCTTTTTCTATTTTTTCTCGATGTTTTAAAATTATTTTTTTGTTTGTTAACAATTTTTTTAATAACTTTTTTGTTAGTTTTTCTATCTTTATGCTAACAAATGTCTAATTTTTTTGGTTTTATTTTATTGATTTTTTGTTTGACTTATTGTTTTTGTTTGTTTTCAATATTTGTTGTAAACTATTAAATAAAAATATTTAAATAAAATAAGCCAAAAACAAATAAAAAATGAGAACTAGAAACGATAACCGTAATGTTAAAAAAATTATTAATTAATCTTTTGTTTTTATTTTCTATCTTTTGTGTTAACAAACATCTTCTTTTTTTGGTATTTTATGTATTTATTTTTTTCATCAAAAAAGTAAAAAAAATTAATTGAAATTCATTCTTTTTTCTTGTTTGTTTTATACGATATTTTTTGTTTTTCATTTTATTTTATCTATTTTCAATCTTTATCGTACGTAAGCAATTAAATAAAAAATAATAACATAAAGCCAAATTAAATAAAAAGATGAAAACACCAAAAATAAGACAAAAAATAACAAAAATATGTAGTAGTATTTTTTGTTTTCGATGTTTTTGTTTGTTGAATTTTTTATTTGTTTTTTTATTTTTGTTCTAGATATTTTAATAGTATTTGTTTGTTTGTTATGATATTTTTTTGTTTGTTAATGTTTTTGTTTTTTCATTTTTTGTTTAGTTTGGGCTTATTTTATTCACTTCTTTTGTTTAATTATTTACCATAAAGATTAAAAAAATCACAAAAAAATATCGAATTAAAAAAACCAAAAAATTGAACGTATGGTACGATTTTTCTGTTTAATTAAAATGATCAATAAAATAAAATTAATTAATTAATAAAATAAAATTAGCCAAACGAAGAATAATTGAAACATAAAAAGATAACAATTGTAAGCACAAAAAAACGAATCCAAATTTCAATTACTCCATCCATTCTGAAATGGATTACAATTTTTTTGCGACCTACCTCTGAATAACTTTTGTTTATTTGTTTGTATATTTTATTAATTATTTATATATCGATTTTTAAATAAGTTGATTTCAAAAAGTGTGGATTTTGCCTCGTAAATGAGAAAGTATAATTCAATTTGGACGGAGGGAGTGATTTTTACACTATTTTATAAAACAATAATATCACATTAAAGTAGCAATAAAAAATTATAAGATGTTTGTTAACAAAAAAGATAAAAAGAAATTACCTATTTATTATTTTATTGATTATTATTTTGTTAATAATAGGGTCGTAAGAAAAGGGGGCTTGAAAAAAGAGGGAGGGTAAGGGTGGGAGGCTGAAAGGGTGGGGTGGGGTGAGGGAGGCTTTGAAGAAGAAGAAAAAAGGGGGTGAAAAAAGAAAAAAAGGGTTGAAAGAAGAAGAAATAGCAGGAAGTGGGAGGGGGGAGAATAAGAAAAAAGGAAGGGGGACAAATTGAAGATTTTAAAATATATAAAATTGTTATTTGGCCCAAATGACCTGATGGTTACTTGAAAACCGGTTCCAGGTACCATTTGTGAAAAATTTTCAAAGTTGATGTATTTTTGTTAAAGAAAATGAAAAATAACTGAAAGTTCATGTACCATGCGTGAAATTTATCCTCCCAATTATTGTTGAAGATCAATTCAATCAGACCCGTTTAATAAAATGAAGGAATAAAAGAATATTTCTTTGTAGATGCTCCGGCTCCTCCTATAAAAGGAAAGCCCTTTCACAAATAGAAGAGATGCCTCTCTCTACATTTCTCCTCAGCATGCCCATTACTCTCTCTCTCTCTTCTTCTCTCTAGGTTGTCGTATAATTTCTTCTTTAAGAATTCAAATGCTCCATTAATGACTTCTAAGGCCAAATCATGTACTGTGTACACCCCTCGATATCAATAAAAATCCCCTGATAGCAAAGTACCGCAAAAAAAGGTCCGTGGTTTTCTCCTGATTGGGTTTCCACATCAAAATCTCCGTGTTTGTATTTTGGTAAATTTTTTTAGACTAATTTATCGTTATTGCCCGGTTAAGAACGATATAACGGTCGAGATAATTTACACCATCAGTGATGCATATGAATAAACATGACATTTCATATTGTCAAACATGTGAATGTATATAATGTAAAAAAATATTGTAATGCCAAGAAACAATTCGATTTGTCAGCATATAATGTCATGTAATCATGTTTGCATCACATATAAAAAAAGAGATCTCCCTAGATAGGAATAAAATAAATTTAAAAAGTTTTAAAAGTATTAAAATAAGAGTTCTATATCTTTTAAACCAAAATAGAAGCATAATGACAGTGATGGAAAAGTGCTGACAGTGTAATATGGTTATGTCAGTGTGATCAGTCAACTGTTAGTTATCTGCAACGGCACTCTTGTGGCCGGCGGTGACGGATGGCAATGTGGCGATGACAGTGTGGCAGTTACAATATGACAATGTGGTGAGTGTGACAATGTAACAATGACAGCTTAAACTCATATTTTGGTAGTAAAAGACTTATAACTCATATTCTAGTATTTTCGTAGTTTTTTAATTCTTATCTAGGGAGTTTTCCTACATCAAAATCTAAAAAAGAGCAAAAATTTGTGATAATAATACATTCAAGAAGAACACTACTTGTTTCCGTTTAATCTTTTTCGTTTTGCTGCTCACAATTGTAACAATCACAATTAGGGGTGATCGTGGTATAGTATATATGGTACGGTATTTGGTTCGTACCGATACCGTACAAAATATTTTGGTTCGATATCAGATTTTACATCGTCTCGATCCCGAAGTATCGATTTGGTATGATCCGATTTTGGTTTTGGTAAATATTGGGATATATACATATACATATACATATATATATATATATATATATATATATATACATGTACCTAGTTTACACTTTGAAATGTATACAACTTTTTATTTTTAAAGAAATTGAAAGTACATTCAAATAAAGAAAGATAAATAATTGAAAAATGAATAATTAAAGGTAAGAAATGCTTATAAATTTTAATTTAATTTATACTTTTTGTTTCGCAAACAAGAGAGAACGAATGATAACAAAATAGTATTTCAAATGTTTGTTAGTTTTTTATATTCATTTATAAAAAACTAAAATTCAAATAAATGATTGTTTAAATGAAAGATTATTTGTAATTCATCTACACTTGAACCAAGTTTTCAAAATTAATTTATTTTTTAATGAAAAAATATAAAAACATTGTTATTTTTATAACATATTTGTATACATGTTCGGTTTGAGATTTTTCAATATGGAAAGTTACCT